GTGATATGAATGATGAAAATTTTTCTTCTCATCTGATCGAAATCCGTCGATCGATCGACGCAATCGAAGAATGAAGAGGACGACGATTGGTCTTAGATGAGCTATCGCCGGCGAATGGGTGAAGAAGGCGTCTCTCTCTGTAGCGATCTGAAGGAGGAAAAGTTTTGGATCATCAGAACCAAATCCGTCGATGGACCGCCCAAATCAGAGAATCAACATAAGGGTATTTGCCTTAGCATCTCTGGTTTTGTTCAATTTTGGTTATAAATGATTCATTTGCATCTTATTCAGTGAGAAATTAAGTTCGATTGAAAGTTTAGGGTTTTGTTTGTTGGTTTTGGAGTTTTTAGGAATTGAAAAGAAGAATGGTTAGGTTGATGCTTGAACTGTTAGATTAATGGTATGATTAAGTATAAGTACATATTCATTGAGATTTTTCAAAAGTTTTGATTCCTGGAATGACTTCTAACAAGCTTCCTTTGTTTCTTGTAGTCCGATTGATGGAAACTCTCTATCTGGAAAGATACCAGATTACTCTTCTCAAAAGGCTGTGAGTAATCAACATTTTTTGAATTGTTTCTTCTTGTGAAATTTGTAGTGACTGAATTATTAAACTGTCCTTTGTATTGAAAAGATCTTCAAGGCACATCAATGGAAGGTCCATTTCCATCTTCTATATCAAACTTGAAGAACTTGACTGACTTGTAAGCAATGTTCAAGAAAGCGCTAGGCGCTAAGCAGGCGGTGACCCAATGCCTAGTGCCTAGAACGCCTAATCGGAGCCTAGGCGATTTAATAGGCGGTTTAAGCGTTTTACAAAAATACATAATATATTAGATATATATAATAAAATATATAAAAACCATAATTTATAACTAATAAAATTTATATTGTATTTATATTCATCATTTAATAGCTAACTATATAAAATTTTACGATTTATATATAAAAAAAATTATAGTATTTTATTATAATAATACCATAATATTTTAGGCGGCAAAAGCAGTAATCGCCACGGTCTACAGGGGCCTAGCGCCGCCTAGTAGAACGCCTAGAACGCTTTTTAGAACACTGCTTGTAAGTAAAGCAAATAGTTTAACAATACCAGTTTTTTCGACTTGTTTTCTTGAACTTAAAGAAAGTGTTTGGTTGTTAGTTTGGTTGTTAAAAATGAATGAATGTTTGGTTAGTTTGGTAATGCTTGTGGTAAATGTTTGTTAGTTTGGTTGTTACTTTCATTGTAAATTACAGAGATCAAATCTTGGTTTCAAATCTGCTGGGAAAGTTAGAGAGATCAAATCTTGGTTTCATTCTATTTTTTCTAATTTCACGAGTAAACTCAAAATCTAAAGTTTTTTTCTTGTTGCTGTTGTGAAATTGATAAAGGTCGAAGTCTCGGAGTCAGAGAGTTGATATACTACTTCATCACATGTTGGCTGATGAACTCAGCAAACCAGAGTGTTCTACTACTGACACATAATCAAAGCTTGTTAAAAGGTTATTTTTATATTTATATTGTTTTCTTGTGAAACTTGCAAGTGTTTTTGATTCTCTGTATAGAGGTCAATAGAAAACGATTGTGTTATGTTGTTTTGTGGCGTCTAGTGTGCTTGTATGACAATATGATTGCCGATCTTATTTGACCATTTTGTAATGTTTATTGACTTTGATTTTATTTTTAAGAATCTTTAATGGGGATCCTCCAATGGAGGAGAAAAAAATTAAAATTCCCTAATAAGTTTTTTAACTTGAAATGATAGAAAATTTATATTAATTTTTTTTTTAAGAACTCCATTAAAAGTTCTACCAATGGAGATGTTCTAAGGTAACAAATTCTATGGATTATTTCTTGAAGACCATATTCAACACATGAAGCTATTTGATCGTTTGTGTCAGATGACAAAAGATGAATGATATTTCTGAAGATGGTTTCAAACTTTAGATTATTCTCTACTGTTCTCAAGTATACTTTTAAATATGTGGATGGGGATAGTTTGCGGACAAAAATAACCTATGATTTCTTTGAATGTG